AATTCAAACTTCAATTATGATGAACAGGATAAATGATGCTTTTCTTGTAACATAATTCTTAACTTTAGTTATTCGTTTGGTAAATGGTTCCCAAAAATTGTTGAAATAATTTTTGACAATCACTTCGAATGTCACTATCTAAAACATAGTCATAATTTGAAAAAAATATTGCATACTTAACCACTATGGCAATTACAAACTTCTTCTGCTTGTTCTTTCACGTTGATAAAGAGATCTCCGGGCAACCTAAGAGCAATAGTGAGAGTTGCGCGATCGTTGTTGGATCAATGTGTGGAAACGGAAGAAAGAATTGGATCGGGGGATTGGTAAACTTTAGACATAGGTTTGAAGGTTGAATTGCGATAATTTGAAAATTAAATTATTGTTTTTATGTTTAAAATAATTATATATTACGCAAATATTTCTATCATAAATACGAATTCACTATAGTTTGAAATAATTAATATTGTTTCACTTATTAATAATTAAGAGAAGTATTGAAAAACCTTTGAACTTGGCATAAACATCACTCTACTTGACTAACTAAATTTAGATACATGTAAACCCTTGATACACTCCCAATCTACCACATGAGATAGTAAGTGGTCTCAAACTCTTATAGGACAATTGAAACTCTTAATAAAAAGTCGAGAGTAGTGTTGAAAACACCCAAAACTTAATGAAAATTTAGTAGTGTATTTCACTCATGTTGGAAGATCTGGGGTACATTTAAATTCAATTAGTCAAGTAAATAGTGTTTTTAAGGCTGTCAACAGTTCGGAGTTGAAACTAATAATTCACGCCAAGTTTAGGGGTGTTTTCGATACTTCTCTCTCAATAATTTCGTACTAGATTTTAAGTTAGATAAACCACTCCTTCAGCTTTCAAATAAGATATTACATGTATCAAAGGTACTAGATGCATGTATCTAGTGTATCACATATACATATAAATCACAGTTATATACATAAATTATACCTAATTTAATCCACATATTATTACATAAATATAGAACGAAAGAACAATGAAATGAAGACACATAATTAATCAACATAAATAGTACATCATAGTAAGAACCAATAAAAGTAATATTTTTTTTTTT